GTAATATTACATGTAATATAAATATATAATTATAACTAGCTTTACCCACCATGCGTTGCTGTAGCCAGTCTTCTCTCCCTCTTTCTCTCCTTCTTTCACTCCTTCCTTCATTTCCTTTTCTTCTTTCCTTTCTTCCTTCTCTACCTGTTTACTTCCTTCCTTAGCTTTTTGCTCCCATCCTTCCTTCTCTTTATTTCTTTCCTTCCCTCCCTCTTTCTCTCCTTCTTTCTCTTCTTCCTTTGCTCCGTCTTTCCTCCCTTCCCTTTTTTCTTTCCTTCTCTCCTCCTTCCTTCTCTTCCTCTTTCCTTCCTCCTCCTTTTTTTCCTTCCTCTTTCTCTCCTTTCTTCCCTCTCTATCTCTTTCCTTCCTTCCTTCGCTCTTGACTTCCAGACTTCCTTTTCCTTCTTTCTTTTCTTCCCTCCCTTTCTCTTCTTCCTTCGCTTTTTTCCTCTCTTCCCCTTCCCAAATTCCCCTTCCTTCCTTCCTTCCTTCCTTCCTTCCTTCCTTCCCCTTCCTTCCTTCCTTCCTTCCTTCCTTCTGACACCTTCCCTTCCCCTTCCCTTTCTTCTTTTTTTCTATCTTTCTTTCCTTTCCTCCTTCCTTCCTTTCTCCCTTCTTTCCCATCCTCCTTCTCTCTCTGTATTCTTTCTTTCCTACCTTTCTTCTTTCATATACCTTCTCAACTTCTCCTTCCTTCCTTCATACCCTCCCTTCCTTCCTTCCTTCCTTCCTTCCTTTCCTTCCTTCCTTTCTCCGTTCTTTCCCATCCTCCTTCTCTCCCTTTCTTCTTTCTTTCCTTCCTTTCTTCTTTCATATACCTTCTCAACTTCTCCTTCCTTACTTCCTTCATACACCTTCCCTTCCCTCCTTTCTTCTTCCTTCCTTCCTTTCTCCCTTCTTTCCCATCCTCCTTCTCTCCCTTTCTTCTTTCTTTTCTTCCTTTCTTGTTTCATATACTTCTCAACTTCTCCTTCCTTCCTTCCCGTTTAGGGGAGGGTGGAGGCGTGGCGTGAACGTGGGAGGGTGTGGCTTGAATGTGAGGGCGTGGGTGGGGGAAGAAGAAGGAGAGGCAGGAGGTAAGGTTGGCGTATGGGTGTTTAGGGGCGGGGCGGGGGAGGGTGGGGGCGTGGCTTGAACGTGGGGGGCGTGGGCGGGGGAAGAAGAAGGAAGGGGAGGAGGTAAGGTTGGCGTATGGGTGTTGCACGCGCCGGGGGACTTCGGGGAAGAGCCTTTGCGTGGCGACGGAGGATGGGGGCGTGGCTTGCACAGAGGGTGCATTGGCCGGCCATGTGGGCGCGCCGGGGGACTTCAGGGAAGAACCTTTGTGCATGCTCAGTTGCTTTTTGTAATTGTGAGTGTATTGAAATGTTGTTTGGAATTTTGATTCGCGTTGTGCATACCTTGTGGGTTGAGGTATGTGCACGGCAAATTTGGTGTGTTTTCGTCAGGGGTTTTTCGCTTTTGCTGTCCCGTTTAACGCCCTTTCCATTTTTATATATATAGATATTGTATTGTTCTTATTATTATTGTATTGCATTATATTATATATATTATTTATATTATATTATATTATTAGAATAGCACAGGAGGCAAGGTGGAACTGTCCCCTGGCCCCCTCTCTCTTCACTCTGGCCCAGAGCGACAGTTGGTGCTGGGGGGAGGGGTCTCCAGCTGATGGCATATCCAGGAGACAAGATGGAACTGTCATCTGGCCTCCCCTCTCTCTTGTTTTGCATAGCAACAGAAGGCAGAGGGGACCAGAGTGCAGTAATCTGAGTCAGTGAGGGAAAATTCTGGTGTAGAGGAAGGAAGTGTTTTTAGGCAGGAGAGAAACTTCTGTGAGGAAAGATTCTAAAAATTAAAAGCAGCCTTTGGGGAGAAGTGCTGAGTTTTTAAAATAGCCTCTAAGAGACAGAGTGCTGGTGTTTTGTGATCCTCTAATAGTTCTGAAAAGCCCTATGAGTGAATATTGTTTTGTGAAGGAACAATTTACTGTAAAGAGATAACTTAACAACCGGCTGTAATTAATACACGTCCGTACCTCTCATAACATCTGAGAAGCCTTCTTGTTCTAGTTCAAATAAACTTTACAATTCTGTTTTATTTACTTCTGTTTTATTTAGTTTTATTTATAAACTTTATAATTCTGTTTGAACAATAGCTAACACTTTATATCAGAGCTTCTGCTCCATTTTTGAGTGGCTCTGAGGGCTAACTCCGGAGGTCAGTTGGACTGATTGGTGTAAATTGGTGGCAGCGATACAGTGGACAGTCAAAGGTCGGGTCATCCATTGTACAAAGCATGTGATCTTGAGAATCTTCTTGCAGCAACTTAGGCCTCTCTTCTGAACACAAATCAGGCCCAGGCAACCCCTCATCCCCAAATCCAACAGACCCTGGCCCAGGAACAGGATCATCATCCCCATTCCCATCATGAACATCAACATGAACATCAGACACAATCACTGGCTGAATAGGCTGATATACAATACCAATGCTCACTGTGATGTATAGGCTAGTAAAATGTTCCTCCATGGAATGAGTATCAACAACTTTATAACAATTTCTGTGAAACCTCAGAGCATGGTATATATTAGGGCTGGGCGGTTTCGTTTCGTTAATTCGTAATTCGTTAAAAATTCGTTATTTTTTTTTAACGAAGCGATAACGAACCATTCTGGAGCAACTTAAAAATGAAACGAATTTTTCAATTCGTTTCGTAAATGCTTCGTATTTTGTTATGTATTCGTTTCGTTATTGGTTTGAGGTCATTTCGTTATTATTTCCGCATGTCTGGGGCAAGTTTTATAGTTGTTTTTTGTTTAATTAGTGAAAAAAAATTATAATATCACACCAACAGTCAACAACAGAGGGAGAGGGAAGCTTCAGAAGTTTTTTTTAGCGTATTGCGCGATCGCGGCCGCCATTAACGAATCGATTCGTTATTGTTTCGTTATTGTTTTGTAATTTTTTTTACCATTTACGAAATTTCGTAAATATCGAACTTTTTTAAGGAAAATTTCGGAATTCTTTTAAATATCGAAACGCAAAAAACCCCAAAAAACGAATCGATTTTAGAAACAAATTTTTCCGTTGTTACCCAGGCCTAGTATATATTAGTGAGCGTTTCCTGTGCTGCATACAAAGCCAATGTTTATTTCTTAAATATTTGTACCTTATTCTTCTGTTGTGACACAGAGCCCTGTGGGCACTAACAACCAGCTTTAAAATATGATGTGTTTTAAATAAATACATCATCATATTTTAAAATAAATCTCACTTGGAAATGTAAAAAAATGTGAAGGAGTGAGAAGAAAATTGCAACTCTCTCTCAGGATGGATGATATGTTTTGTTCAAACATAGTTTGTTTCCTGTCCTGAATTTCTATTTGCTTGCATATGCTCTAAGTCTACAACTACAACAACAATGTCATTTAACTCACAGAAATGTTCTGTATTTTTTTTAAACAGTTTGTGTTCATATCAGAATTTTTCAACTTATTTCTAATATTATCTGCCTTTGTATACACTGTTCTTCTATTATATATATGGAATAAAGAAACATTATGCAGTTTTCCCTAATTTTATATTTCTGTCTGTATTTTTGATCAGAGAATCTTGTCACAACATTCAGATAAACAACCGGCAATATCGCTCCATTTCATTTTGTGCATTAAAACATGAACCAAACAAATTTGTTCCATTCCCTGGTGGCGAAGTGGGTTAAACAACTGAGCTGCTGAACTTGCTGACTGGTTGGTGGTTTGAATCCGGGAAGCGGGGTGAACTCTCTCTGTTAGGTCAAGCTTCTGCCAACCTAGCAAATGTGAGCAGATCAATTGGTACTGGCTAGGCGGGAAGGTAACGGTGCTCCATGAAGTCATGCTGGCCACATGACCTTGAAGGTGTCATAGAATCATAGAGTTCGAAGAGACCTCATGGGTCATCCAATCCAACCCCCTGCCAAGAAGCAGGGAAATTGCATTCAAAGCACCACTGACAGATGGCCATTCAGCCTCTGTTTAAAAGCCTCCAAAGAAGGAGCCTCCACCACACTCTGGGGCAGAGAGTTCCACTACTGAACAGCTCTCACTGTCAGGAAGTTCTTCCTAATATTCAGATGGAATCTCCTTTCTTGTAGTTTGAAGTCATTGTTCCATTGCATCCTAGTTTCCAGGGCAGCAGAAAACAAGCTTGTTCCCTCCTCCCTGTGACTTTCTCTGACATATTTATACATGTATTGTCGAAGGCTTTCATGGCCGGAATCACTGGGTTGTTGTAGGTTTTTCCGGGCTATATGGCCATGTTCTGGAGGCAATTTTTCTCCTGACGTTTCGCCTGCATCTATGGCAAGCATCCGCAGAGGTATTTATACATGGCTATCATGTCTCCTCTCAGCCTTCTCTTCTTCAGGCTAAAAATGATCAGCTCCTCATAGGGCTTATTCTCCAGACCTTTGATCACTTTAGTCACCCTCCTCTGGACACATTCCAGCTTGTCAAGACCTCCCTTCAATTGCAGTGCCCAGAATTGGACACAGTGTGGTCTGACCAAATCAGAATAGAGAGGTAGCATGACTTCCCTGGATCTAGACACTATACTCCTATTGATACAGGCCAAAATCCTGTTGGCTTTTTTTTGCTGCCATGTCTATGGACAATGCTGGCTCTTTGGCTTAGAAATGGAGATGAGCACCACCCTCCAGATTCAGACATGCCTAGACTTAATGTCAGGGAAAACCTTTACCTTTTTATACCCATACAGGCTATATGAATTAATTGAATTTAACATTCATATGAAATGCCATAACTTTTTGAGACATAAGTCTAATTATCTTGGTTAATGTCTGGTAATGTAAGTTTGGTTTAGATTTTAAAATTGTTTTCTCTCCAGATAGTTAGGATTGGTGCATTAATATTTTTCAAAATTAACCTTGTGTATACTGATCCACTATTATTGTATAAAGTGGCTTCACAGGCATTTTCTTTTTCTTTTTTTAGCGACTCGCTGAAGCAGCAGAAAGATTTCAGAAAGAACATCAGTGGCAGGATGAGTTTGCGGTAAGATTGCACTTTTTTAAAAAAAAAGAAAGAAAAAAAAAGAAAAACCTATTTCCCATTTGCTGATTTCTCCATTTGCCATGCTAGCTAGTTATATCAGAAAGCTCTTCACTCTTCTTTCAGTATGTGTAAGCAAAAGATGTGTAAAACAAAGGAACAGAATGTTACTGAAGAAATATTAAGAACAAATGTTTGTTTTGTAGTTAATAGACAGACAGGACTGTCTGTAGCATCTATATTATACTAGGATAATAAAGTAAAATCAACATGGAATTCATTTGTGATTGAAAAGTGAGATGAGATAGGCATCAGCCTTTATAAGGAATCACAGTAAATTCATTAATCATTGTTTATTACTCTGTTTTCCCTGTAATTCCCTGCCAGCTGTCTTGGAGAGCTCCTGCTCATATTGTGGCTGCTAGCTTTATGAAATGCCATTCCTCTTTGGCTGCAAAAGGAACACATGAGCAGAGTGTGCATATATCATTCTGCAATTAATCTAACCAGGAGATACATGCTCTAGATCTCGAAGAACATGACAGCCCGCTGAAAAGGAATTAACTGTCCAAAATACAACTGCTAACTATTGACTTGGAGGTATTACTCCAGTTGTTTAATTAATATGTGCAGTGCACTTCCATGTTTCTATTAGGAAGGAAGCATAATTCTTGGAATTGCTAAAATCTTTTCTACTGGGGAAAAAAGAACGAAGATGGGTTTCAAAAAGTGATGAGATTTATTTCATGGAAGATTTGCTATCACTGTTTACATGTCAAATTGCCATGCAGCCAGTATCAGTGACAAGATATAATGTGCTGGAGAATATGAAATGGAGCACACAATTGCACTCATGTTCTACTTGTGGCCCTTCCTTGGATTAACTCGTTGGCACTGTGAGAACATAATGCTGGACTAGACAGGTCTTTTCATGTTCTTATGCTTTTATTATTTTTGGAGTTCTTAACCTCCCTCACAAATGCCATGTAAAAAGAACTTTCAAAAGTTCTTTAAATATTGCTTGAGGCAAAATTTCAGTGGCAGATCTACTTTTGGACACATATATCTATTTTGTGTGCGTATAGTGGTGCAGTGGGGGATTGTCCCACATAGTTGAAATCTTTCTGTGGTTTCACTTTCTTTTGCCCTTTATGTTCAGTGAGAATTTTTAAAAAGATAGTTTGCACATTTTGCATAAGGAGCTTGTAATTTATCAAATTTCACTGCCAAGAAGGTTTTGCAAAGTTGTTCTGAAAATACCATATTTTATTAATATCTTCAGTGAAAGAGACTCTGTATAATTCACACAATATCAGCATGCACATCTTTTTTTTGGCAGGAGAAATAAAGTAATAATAAAAGCAACCTGAAACAAAGCCAACACCTTCTTTTTTCTGTTGGAATGAGGGAACAGTACAGAACATAATAACCTTGACATTAGGTTACACAATTAAATTTTGAATAAATGTATTAAGCGGCTCGTAATTTAATTTGTTCCATTTTAGCCAGAAGTAATCTTTCATTTCTTCTTCTACCTCTTTTTTTTTTTTAAAGAAAATGCCTGTTTAAAATGAGTTTGCACCTGGCTCTGTCTGCTAAATTTACTATTCAGTGCAATCCAGTTTTTTTAAGGAATCTGTGTTGTAGAATTTTTTTAAAAAAACTTATTACTGGATTCAGTGCTTGCCTTCTTGGTGAAACTGAAGTGCATTATGAAGGTTCCTGTTCCTGTAATGGATAAAGTTACAAAGAAGTCCCTTTAGTACAGTATGAGTCAAAGACAGAATGGATCTCTTTTGGATCACAGAAGAAAAAAATGAATTGAGGGTAACTTCTCATTCACTTCAAACCAACAATGAACTTTTTGATTATCAGCGTGTGCATAATGGTAGTTTCCACAGTGTGAATTGGATGGTGGGGATCTGATTAGCCAAAACAAGGCAGGACCAATCTTTTAGTGTAGCGGTATGGAGCAGACTGTAGTTTGTCTCTTCAAACTGTACATCAGAATACTTAAACATAGACATGTTCCAAACCACATAAGCTTGATCATTGTCTACAAGCACCTGCTTCCATATTGTCACTTGTGCTTAATCCTAAAAACAACCCACAAAACTATTAATATGGTTGAAGTCCTGCTCTCAGGAAGTGGCAAACATTCATTTTAGAGAATACATCTTGAAAAATCAGCTTTGCAGTCATTTTTAATGGCACTTACTATAATCAAGTTTTAATGGCTTTTTAATGCGTGCATCTATAATTTAAGGTTGGAGTGTATGGGATAATTACTGTAAAAAGGCTGACACGATTGCAAAGGAATGGTAGAGTCCTTGTTAAATGTACACTCAGTTTATTGGTGGTGGATTCTATTAAATATTGGGTCACAACATCACTCCCTCCTTATCAGATTTTAACACAATGCCAATTAAAATAGATTTTATTTGCATATGTTATTAGATACCTATTATAGAAATGTCAAGGGCTTTAGAGAACCTTCACCAATTATTATAGATGAAGAAAGCAAGATCCTGAATATTCAGTACAAGTTTTGTCTTCCTCATCTGGAAATCCCAAATACTCCAAAACCTGAAAATTTCTTTCCACCAGCTGGCCATTTATGCCTCAGGGAAGTGACTATATTTATTTTTTCTTGAAAAGATCGGAAATAGCAAAAATTTGAATAACTTCGTTTACTTCGTTAATGGAAGGTGTCACTCCCCCCTGTTAGTTTAAATTCTCGCAGTTTCCCTGGTCTCCCTGGCAAGTGCGACAAGCGGCGATGCGGAAGGGCGAGGTGTGTGTGGCTACGCCCAGCTCTACCTGAAGGCCACGCCCCCAGTGGCCTTCAGGAGCAGCTGTTCTTTCCCACGGCCACCTCCTTCCTTTTTGCATCGGCGGCTTTGCACGCCCAGCGATGCAAATAGGGAGGAGGTGGGATGTGGGTAAGAACAGCTGTTCCTGTGTGAGAACAATTAATATGAGGGGCTTAAATGAAATAAAACTGGTCTAGCTAACTAATATTTCCAGTGAAATTAAACTAGCAAAGAATATTGTTTGTTTTATGCAGATTTTATTTATATGTGTCCCATTGAGCCTTCAAAGAAAACAAAAGCAATTATTTTTTGCACTTAAACATCTCAAGCAAGCAAAATCCTGTGTGTGTGTGTGAATTAAAAACACACACACACACCTTTAAGAAAAATTGGTTCAAAAGGGAATTTAATCTGAATTAATTCCGATTTAAGAAGCTTCCAAACGAACTTGACCTAGCCTAATATATACATATAGACACATATACTGACACATATATGTACACAGATACATACACCCATACACACACACACACACACACACATATACACAAATATATTGTTGTTGTTGTTCATTCGTTCAGTCGTCTCCGACTCTTCATGACCTCATGGACCAGCCCACGCCAGAGCTCCCTGTCAGCCGTCACCACCCCCAGCTCCTTCAAGGTCAGTCCAGACACATCAAGGATGCCATCCATCCATCTTGCCCTTGGTCGGCCCCTCTTCCTTTTACCTTCCACTTTCCCCAGCATAATTGTCTTCTCTAGGCTTTGCTGTCTCCTCATGATGTGGCAAAGTACTTCAACTTTGTCTCTAGTATCCTTCCCTCCAATGAGCAGTCGGGCTTTATTTCCTGGAGGATGGACTGGTTGGATCTTCTCGCAGTCCAAGGCACTCTCAGAACTTTCCTCCAACACCACAGCTCAAAAGCATCGATATTCCTTCGCTCAGCCTTCCCTAAGGTCCAGCTCTCACATCCGTAGGTTACTACAGGGAATACCATGGCTTTGACTAGGCGGATCTTTGTTGCCAGTCTGATGTCTCTACTCTTTACTATTTTATCGAGACTGGACATTGCTCTCCTCCCAAGAAGTAAGCGTCTTCTGATTTCCTGCCCACAGTCTGCATCTGCAGTAATCTTTGCACCTAGAAATACAAAGTCTGTCACGGCCTCCACGTTTTCTCCCTCTATTTCCCAGTTGTCAATCATTCTTGTTGCCATAATCTTGGTTTTTTTGATGTTTAGCTGCAACCCAGCTTTTGAGCTTTCTTCTTTCACCTTGATTAGAAGGCTCCTCAGCTCCTCCTCACTTTCGGCCATCAGAGTGGTGTCATCTGCATATCTGAGGTTGTTAATGTTTCTTCCAGCAATTTTTACCCCAGTCTTGCATTCATCAAGCCCCGCACATCGCATGATGTGTTCTGCATACAAGTTAAAAGGTTGGGTGAGAGTATGCAGCCTTGCCATACGCCTTTCCCAATCTTGAACCAGTCTGTTGTTCCGTGGTCAGTTCTTACTGTTGCTACTTGGTCCTTATACAGATTCCTCAGGAGAGAGACAAGGTGGCTTGGTATGCCCATACCACCAAGAACTTGCCACAATTTATTATGATCCACACAGTCAAAGGCTTTAGAATAGTCAATGAAGCAGAAATAGATGTTTTTCTGAAACTCCCTGCCTTTCTCCATTATCCAGCAGACATTGGCAATCTGGTCTCTCGTTCCTCTGCCTTTTCTAAACCCAGCTTGAACATCTGGCAACTCTCGCTCCATGTATTGCTGGAGTCGCAACACAATAATAAATACTGTAAAATAATAATAGAGTAAAATAATGTATAGCCTGAAGAAGAGATGGCTGAGAGGGGATATGATAGCCATGTATAAATATGTGAGAGGAAGCCACAGGGAGGAGGGAGCAAGCTTGTTTTCTGCTTCCCTGGAGACTAGGACGCAATGGAACAATGGCTTCAAACTACAAGAAAGGAGATTCCATCTGAACATGAGGAAGAACTTCCTGACTGTGAGAGCCGTTCAGCAGTGGAACTCTCTGCCCCGGAGTGTGGTGGAGGCTCCTTCTTTGGAGGCTTTTAAACAGAGGCTGGATGGCCATCTGTCAGGGGTGCTTTGAATGCAATATTCCTGCTTCTTGGCAGGGGGTTGGACTGGATGGCCCATGAGGTCTCTTCCAACTCT